GGAGCCTCCCCGGGCGTCCCCTTGGACCAATCCCAAACCTGGAGACCATGATGAGGTGTTTCCGATCCTTGCGGACAGAGACGGTCCTGGCCGTGGTCCTCTGCACCTTCTCGCTCCTCTTCCTCCTCCTCAGTCTGCACACGGCACCGGCGCCGGCCGCGTGCCCCCGCGGGCGCCTGGAGGAGCCGCCGGACCCCCGGGGGGCTGTGACCTGGCCGCCTCCGCCCGCCCGGCCCCCGCCCGCCCCCTGCCGGGCCAACGCCTCGGCGGCGCAGCTGCCGGACTTCGCGGAGCAGCCGCAGCACGTGCGCGACTTCCTGCTGCACAGACACTGCCGGGGCTTCCCGCTGCTGCAGGACGCGCCGCTGAGCAAGTGCGCGCAGCCCGTCTTCCTGCTGCTGGTCATCAAGTCCTCGCCCAGCAATTACGAGCGCCGCGAGCTGGTGCGGCGCACGTGGGGCCGCGAGCGGGAGGTGCAGGGCGTCCTGTTGCGGCGTCTCTTCCTGGTGGGCACGGCCCCGGACCCGAAGGAGGCCCGCAAGGTCAACCAGCTGCTGGCGATGGAGGCCAGGGTGCACGGGGACATCCTGCAGTGGGACTTCCACGACTCCTTCTTCAACCTCACGCTCAAGCAGGTAGGCTGGCGGGGCGGCCCCTGTCCTTCCGGCCCAGGTCCCCCGCATCTCCTCCGAGGGCGCCTTGGGGACCAGCAGACCCGTCCTCCCACCCGACCCCCTCTACTGCCTACATGGCGCACGAAGTCCATTTCCTCTCGGGGGTGGGGGTGACCCAGGCTGAAACTCAGGCTCCGTGTTGCCCGTAATGATGGTTCACCCCTCTGTGCCTCAGTTTCCTCATCAGGGAACTTGGGGTATTAATTGGACCCATCCACCTCTGAGGGCTGCTGTAAGGATTACATGAGATGAGATTAGGCACCTGGACCAGTGCCAGGCTCTCAAGTAATATTGGCAGTGGTGTGGGGGGAGGCGGGTACTGGACAGAACGTGTCTTGTTTATTTGGTCTGGTTCTGTCTCCCCATGAGGTCTAGTCTGTGCAGTGAGTACTCAGTAAAGACTTTTTTTAAAAAAAATCCTCATCCCAGGGCATGCTTCGAGAGAAGAAGTGAGGGAGGGAGAGAGAGAGGGAGAAACTTTGATTGGTTGCCTTTCGTATACTCCCCAACTGGGGATAAACCCACAACCCAAGTATGTGCCCTGACCAGGGATTGAACTGGCAACCTTTGGGTGCCTGGGACAATGCTCAATTAACTGAGCCACTCTGGCCGGGCAATAAAGACATTTTTGATGGACCAGAACCCATGGCAGGTAGAGAGAATCCGCATGCAGAGCAGGAGTCGGCGGCTCCAAGGATCGAGCAGGTTGGGGGTGGGGTGGAGCAAGCTGAGTGGAGATCCAGCTCAGGTTCCTGCTCTTCGTAGGTTCAGACAGGTCTGGGTTCAGATCTCAAGGAGCTACTTCTGTGTTATGTGACCTTGCTCAGGGCATCGTCACTGGACAGCTTGTTTCCTCATTTGCAAATGGGACTGAAGACCACATGTACCGCTTGTGGTTGCATTAGGGACTCAAAGCAGGGCAGGCCCTGAGGACATGACTTGGCAGGCAGCAAAGGTCATGATGGAGGAAACGGAAGCCAAAGTAAGCAGAGGGCCAGAACCCCTCAACATGCCACGATCTTAACACAAAACACCCAAGGGCATGGTAAACATTAACTTAGACATGAATCTAGCCCCCATGAGGCATTGAGCCCACAATGGCTGCCGGGAACATGGCCCGGGTAGGAGACACAGCCCCCACCCAGGGGGAACCGGAGTCTGGCAGGGGAGGTAGATGTTCAGTGACAACCACACAAGTAATTATACAACAGCAGCGCTCGACCAGGCAGAGGGGGAAGGAATGGCAATAAACGTAAATGTGACAATTCTCTTGGTGCTTTAACCAACATCATCTCCATGGACCCCCACAATCCTGCAGGCAGGTCCTGAGACGAGGCCTGAATGGAAAGTTGGAAACTGAGGCACAGAGACGAGCAGTTGGTGGTTGAGGTCACCCCACAGGGTGGGGGAGGGGGGCCTGGAACCCAGGCTGGGTTGACTGGGGGACACATCCTCCCCTGGTCTCGATGGGCTGAGGAGGCTGATTGTCCCAGCCCTTCAGCCCACATGCCCTGCCCGCCCCCCTGCAGGTGCTCTTCCTACAGTGGCAGGAGACTCGGTGCACCAACGCCAGCTTCATCCTCAACGGGGACGATGACGTCTTTGCACACACGGACAACATGGTCTCCTACCTGCAGGGCCACGACCCTGACCACCACCTCTTTGTGGGGCAGCTCATCCAATACGTGGGCCCCATCCGGGTCTCCTGGAGCAAGTACTACGTGCCCAAGATAGTGACGGAGGACGAGCACTACCCGCCCTACTGTGGAGGGGGGGGCTTCCTGCTGTCCCGCTTCACGGCGGCAGCCCTGCGCCGGGCTGCTCCCGCCCTCGACCTCTTCCCCATCGACGATGTCTTCCTGGGCATGTGCCTAAAGCACGAGGGCCTGCAGCCCGCCTCGCACAGTGGCATCCGCACTGCCGGCATCTGGGCCCCCTCGGCACGGCTGTCCACCTTTGACCCCTGCTTCTACCGGGACCTGCTGCTGGTGCACCGCTTCCTGCCGTACGAGATGTGGCTCATGTGGGAGGCACTGAGCCAGCCCAACCTCACCTGTGGCAAGCGCAGGCAGATCTTCGGAGCGGGGTCGGCGCCCTAGCCCCTGAGCTCCTGTCTCCACCCCGCAGGAGGGGGGGACATTTTCTTCCCAGGAAGAGACCTTTGTCCTCCTGGGGCATAGGGAAGTGCCAGGGAGGGTGTGATGAGTGAATAGTTTTGTTTGTTTGCTTTTTTTTTATATACGTATATGCTTTTATTTATTTTAGGGAGAGAGAGAGAAAGGGAGAGGGAGAGAGAGAGAGAAACATTGATTAGCTGGCTCCTGCGTGCCCCCACTGGGGATTGAGCCCGAAACCCAGCATGTGCCCTGACCAGGAGTCAAACCGGCGACCTCTTGGTGCACGGGGCAGTGCTCAACTAACTGAGCCACACTGGCCAGGGCTGATTAGTGAATAGTTTTGTGGCAAATTCCTACACATCCTTCAAAACTCACCCAGTACTGCTGAGACCAGGTTCGTCATACTTCCTGGACTCTCAGCTACTGGCAGAAGCACTTGCTGCTGCTGCTACTTCCAGCCCATTTGAGTCCAAGTCCCACATCCCAGCCCTAGGCGGTCTGGTTCAGTGGATAGAGCATCAGCCTGTGGACTGAAGGGTCCCAGGTTCGATTCCAGTCAAGGGCACATGCCTGGATTGCAGGCTCAATCCCCAGTAGGGGGTGTGCAGGAGGCAGCCAATCAATGATTCTCTCGCATCATTGATGTTTCTACCCCTCTCTTCCTCTCCCTTTCTCTAAAAGCAATAAAAAAATGAAGTCCCACATCCCAGCCCCAACCTTGATCATGGGCTGGCCCCTAAATAGTGGCCACATGCCTGGAATGCAGGTAATTGTGGGTGAGGTCTGTCCATGGTTCACGGCCAATGGGGAATCCCGAGGTCGCAAGCAGCTGAAGGGAGAAGCACTTTTCAGTGAGGGGAAGGGCCTTGGACCCTCAGATGGTAGGAGGGGTCAGAGAGGCCCCGAATGGGACCGCCCCCTCCCTGCCTGTGGTATTAAGTGCTCTGGTGGTGGAAATAGTGGCCAGAGGAGGGAGGCAGTGGTCTGTCTCAGGCTATGAAGACTTGGTCTGGAGTACCCAGCAGGCCCCAGGCCCCACACCTGGGATCCCCAAGAACTCAGGAAACAGTACTGGGACCAGAGGGGTCTTCACTGGGCTCAAGGCCACACAAACACTCACCCCAGTGCCCTGAGAAGGAGGAGGTTCAGATCCTCGACTGGCCCTGAGCTCTTGGGACCCAGGACTATCCCCTCCCCCCGACCAGTGTCTTTCTGATTAGGGAGATCTAAGCGAACTGGTGAACCCTAATCCTGCTGGCCTTGACAGGTGTCTGGGACTCGGGCCTCCCAGGCATTGGGGTGGCAGGACACCTCAGGCAGCAGAGTACAGACGGGGGAGTGGGTCCTCAGGGAATAAAATGTTTGTTGAAGACCTGGGGTCTTTTTTTTTTAAGTTATTTACAAGTTTTAACTCAGGTCAATCTACATTTATTTATAAAAATCTCATTTCCAATAGAAAATATACACCTGCAGGAGTCTCATTCATGCTGATCTGACCTTACCTCATCCCTGCTCACACACCCACCATGGCTCCCACTTGCCCTAAGCTTATATAACCCAAGTCTGACTCTCACTACCAGCTTGGTGACAGTCTCGGGAGAGAAAGGCATGGGTTGAGTCTGCTCCTGTCTGCAAGGGACACTGGGCCCACCTCAGGCTCCTGCTTCAGGCAAGGCCCCTGCCCAATCCCACCCAACCTCCTCTCCTCCCGTGAGGACTGTGCCTCTGCTGTCCTCTATCCTGCCTCCTCTCCCTTTAAGTATTTATTGTGCACCTACTGTGTGTTGCACACTTTGCCCGGTACTCTTTCTCCCAGACCCATGGGAAGGGTCAGCAGATACAGACCCACCTTATAGCAAGGAGGTTATATCATAGGATCCCCATCTCAGGATGAAGGGAGGATGTAAGTGAGAAGAATGGTCAGAATTGAATCAATAAATATCCACTGTGACTAACTTAGGTGTGTGTGTGTGTGTGTGTGTGTGTGTGTGTACCATTAAGTGGGCATTAAATGACATTAAGGCCCTCCCAGGATTTGAATCCTACACCTGGCCATTCCTACCTTGTCTGATCTTGGCAAGCAGTCATCTCGCTGGGCCTTAATTTCCCCATTTTTTCTTGTGATGAATCAAGTTGTCAAACTCCTAGAAGTGTTGGTGGGCCTATGGCTGCCAGGGGCCAAGCCCATGTGAGGGCTGACCTAGGCTGGTCCCTTTTTCTTGAGAAAATGCCATAAAGCTGCTTTGAATTCTGCAGGAGTTTTATTTATTTATTATTGGGGAGACAGCAAGATGGGGTTTTACAAGTACAGAGAGGGCTCCTTGGAGGTGAGAACATTTGACCCTCCGTGTCTGACATTGTAAAATCAAGGATTCTCCAAGCCAGGGTGGTAGGGTGCCCCCACCCCCCTGAGTTGACCCCATTGAAGTTGGGTGACCTAGGGTAGGTGGTGAGTCCCCTGTCCCAGGATGTAATCAACAATCCCCCAGACATGGGGCTTTATGGTGCTGTATGGCTTCAGGAGGTCACCAAACCAGAACTTCTGGGTCTCTGACTCCCCGAGGCCCTGCCCTAGGAGGGCTCAGTGGGGACAGAGGGTCAGTAGGTCTTGCCAGGTGCAGCCGCTAAGGCAGCAGTGGCGGGCAGGGTTGGTGGCAGTTGCCCGGCGATGGTGGTGGTGGTGGTGGTGATGGTGAGAGGCCTGGGGCAGGGGCTGTGGGTCGAGTACCAGCATTTGGTCCTCGGCCACCAGGCCATGGAGGAGATGTCGTCCTTCCAGCCATTGCAGCAGCTCACCTGGGGACAGGGTAGAGTTCAGCATAGATAGGGGACCCCAGAAGACACCCCCACTCTGTGTACACACCCCTGCATGCTCACATCCTGCTAAGTGCGCCCCCAAACACTCATCATACACACAAATAGTGAGCACTTATTAAGTAACTACTGTATACCGGGCACAGATTTCATCAACCATCCAGGTGTGTGCACACTTGACCCACACTCAAGTCCCTCGCAGTGCACACACACATGTGCCACCCAACACATGGACGCACGGGCGCTTCCCAGAGTAGAAGACAGCAGAGGTGGCCTGTGACACACTTATGTGCATGGGTGTGCAGGCAGTGGGTACACATGGACACAAACACACCCCTGGATGAGCACACACAAGTAGCATGCCCCCAAACCCCCTCCCACTGCCCCCACCTGCCATGTGCACCTCTACACACCTGTCTGCACCCATGTCACACAGACATACGCACGCAGCACACACGTGTGTGACACACGTGCGCACAAACCTGTGTTACGCCCTCTGCACCAGGGCCAGGGCTAGGGGAGGAGAGTGAGCACTGGTAGCGCCAAAACAATCAAAATGAATCCTATTTTAATGCAGTATTTTTAAAAAGTCAGAATTAATACATAAATGCATGAAGATCACAGTCCTGAAGTGGTGAAGGATCTGACTGCACTTGCAAGACTCTTCCGCTAGGCCTCGCGCCGGTTCCCGCCCAGCCGGGAGAGCATCCTCTAAGCTACGGACTTGCACCCGCCAGCGGCCGGCAGGTGGACCCGGTCCGCCCCGCGCGCGTACCAACCCGCCCGCGCCCGAAGCCCACAAGCGCCGCGTGCCCACTGAGAAACGCAGGAACACGGCCCCCGCCCGCCCCACTTACGGTCTCCGCCAGCCACTGGCCGCCCGGTCTCGGGGGACCAGCGCGGGCCCCCACACACTCGCACCAGCGCGCGGACGAAATGGTGGCCACACAGCTTCTCCGGCCCCTCCGGGGTGGGCGCGCGGCCCAGCGTCACGACCAGGGCCGAGCTCAGCAGCACCAGCGCCCAGGGGAGCGGGCGGGGGTCCATGGCTGCGGGAAGGGCTGCGCCTGAGCCCAGCGGCACCCGGCTTATAGGCTCCCGCCGGCCCCGCTGGGGGCCTTGGAGGAGCGGGAGGCATGTGAGAGGGTCAGGGTCAGGGCCAGGGTCAGGGTGAATCCAGCGTGAGCCCTGACGCTGTGTTCTCTGTTGTAATGCTAGCGCCTGACTCCATGAAGCGTTGATTGTGGAGGCAGCCGCCCCCATGATGGCCATCTCCGCCCAGCAGCTGGATGAGGCACAGGCGCCCTTCCCCGCGAGGCTCCTGTCTGAGAGATCGTGGCTGATTCTGGTAACTGGCCATTTGGGCCCCTTGCTTTTTCTCTTCGATGCTTTAAATGACCACTCTTACATTAGGCCTCAATCCTCAACGCCAATACAAGCAGAACCCCAGACCTGACCATGCTCTCCCTCCACCTGCCGTTGGGCTCTGTGGCCCCACGTGTGTTGTGTCATTTCCAGGTTCTAAGTAAATAATAAACCTTTATTTTCTCAGAGTTCCCGGATGGTGACTGATGGCGTCTTGTACTCGTAATGAGCTCAGGGGCTGGTCCAGCCACCGCGCTGTTATTGATTGGCTGAGAGGGACACGAAACGGCAAGGGTCTCTCTCCCTGGGCAGGGCCTTGGGTGTCCCCACCTCAAGTGGACTTCTAGCTGAGGAGTCTTTATTATCAGTCTTAACTATTTGAAAGAAGTGAAATAGATAAACTGAGAAATAATGTCATGGGGTGGGTGTGGCGCTCAGCCAGCTGAGACCGGGGATATCTGGAGTCTTGTTAGGAGGGTGCACATAAGGAAACAGGCTCGGAGAGCGGACCCCGCACTTGCCCAAGGTCGCAGGAGGCTGGGCCCCGGGATGGGGGTGCTGGCTTGCTCTGCCTCTCTCACATTAGGGTCCCCTTGGGCTGGGCAGGGACTGAAGGGCCCAGACAAGTGTGACTGCATTTGCTTAGCACCTACTGGGTGGCACCCTGGTGCCCGGGAGGCCGTAGGACCCTGTTTTACCAAGAATGGAAGCTAAGGCAGAGAGAGCCTGAGCCAAAGAGCTGGTCTTGCTCAAGTTTAAAGCAGCCCTGCAACCCGACTCACTACTTTTCACCAAAGCAGGTGGCTCTTCCTGGGCTGAGAGGGCTCCGTCTTTGTCTCCCTCCCTCCCTCTCCCTCTCTCTGTCATTCTCCATGTCTTTCCAGCAGTCCTGAGGAGCACACAGGGGACTAGCTTGGCCCTCCTGATGTGGAACCCCTCCCCACAGCCTAGCTCTTCCAACCGGGCCTTCCCCTCTGACCCATGCAGAACAGCCTGTTCCCTCCACCCTCCAAAAGCCTGTAATCAGCTCCCAGGACAGAGCGAGGCCAGCAGCTGGGGCTGGGGGAGGGCTTCTGTCCTCCAGGGCCCCAGCCAATGCCCTACCCTGCTGTGTCTCCTCCTGCAGCCGATCCCAAGGCCCCCGCTGGGCCCTTCAGGAGTCTCTATGCCCCCGGCCCTAACCACACTTCTCCCCTGATAGTCCCTCCTCAAGGTTCCCCATCACCCAAGTCCAGCAACAAACCATCCCTTCCACTGAACTCCTTTACTCATTCAACAAACACATCCCAGAGTCCCCTCTGTGCCCGCCCTACCCAGCCCCCATGGAGCCTCCAGGTCAGAAGAGACAGCTGGACACAGTCGGCACCCCGGCCCTATGGTCAGAAGGAAGGACAGGCCTTGCGGGGTGTGGCGGGAGCACACTAAGGAGGGCTACAGGGAGGTGATTGATAGCTGGGGTTTGAGAGATGAATGCAAGTTTTCCAGGGAGCTAAGTGGCAGGGAAGCCTTGCAGGCAGGTGAGAAGGTTTGGTGGGGCTTAACCCGCACAAGCCTCCACAAGTTGACTGCACAGCTGAGGAGCCAGCATATGGGACTGGGGCCCAGAGAGAGCAAGCAACTTGCCCACTGTCACACAGCAAATTAGTGGCTCCAACAAACTCTGTACTCTGAGCCTCCTCACTGTCACCATGATGTTCCCTCTGCCAAGAATGCCTTTCCCTCCCTCAGCTGCTGAAAAGCTCCTGTCAGGCTTTTCAGAGTCATCAGTGTGTAAGCCTCTGGTCAAGAGAGAAAGGCTCCAGTGTACAGGTGGGGAAACGAGCCCTGGGGTACAGTTAGGATGGACTGGGACCCCAGCGACTCCTGGCCCTTGACATAGTCCCAGGCACCCTTGCTCTCCCAAAAAGTGAGTTTCCAACCAGAGCAGCTGCTCTTGTCCTTGGCTTCCTCCGGAGAGAGCAGGATGGGCGAACAGAAGCCTGAGATCATATATTGAAAGCTACACAATGTCCCTGCTGGAAACTAGATGGGAAGGCATCCTCTGAGAAGATGGAGAAGTGGGAGGAGCTTAAATGTGGCCCCTCCCCTCTGGGAGCTGGGCTCAGCGGCCCCATGGAGCCATCTGTCTTGAATTTTTAAGTTCCAAAGGCCACGAAGCTGAAGCTGCCGTTGCTCCATAAGCCAGGGATGCCCCCATATGCAATGTCATTAGACTCTAAGCCGGTTGCCTAGAGAGGAGCAGCGTCCTGCCCAAACTCGCGAGGCCAGTCCATTGAGACAAGGACCCAGAGGTGCGGGAGATATAAAAACGACAGTGTGTGAGGGTCTCCCTCCGGACAAGCAGGGAAGGTGCGCGCTACCCCCGACTTCCATTCCACAGCGCCTCCAGCTGGGGGCCCAGGGTGCTGAAGGATGGTCGGTCTTGTGGGCTAGGAGCCCAGCACAGCTTCATGAGCTCATGAACCTGGGGGTGGGGTGGGGGAGGGGAAGACAACGGAGTCACAAGGGAGTGGTAGGAAGGACATGACTCTTGTTCTAAAATATACTTAGACTCCATCCCTCCCCTGCTCCAAAGCCTCCCATGAACAAAACCTCACCCCTCCTCTGCCTCCGTCCCTCCATTACCTCCTTCCTTCTTCCATCAGCCACATCATTACTTAAATGCACCAAGCTCATTCCTACCTCAGGGCCTTTACAGCTGCCGTATCCTCCACCGAGAAAGCCCTCTGCCAGCTCTCCCCATGGATGGGCTCCTCCTCTAGGTATCACCTCCTCTAAGAGGTCCTCCCTGACCATCCTTCCCTGATCACCTCCCCTGTTCACCTCTTTCCCACCAGAATGGTTTTCTTTTTCTTTTTCTTAGATATTTGTATCGATTTTTAGATTGAGAGGAAGGGAGAGGGAGAAACATCATTTGGCTGCCTCTTGCACGCTCCCTACTAGGGATCAAGCCTGCAGCCTTGGGCATGTGCCCTGACCCTGGAATTGAAGCAGCAACCTTTCTGTGCACAGGATCTTGCCCTACCAACTGAGCCACACAGGCCAGGGACCCACCAGAATGTTTTTGTTAGTTTATGCTGGTTCCTGGGAGGACCCTGCTGAGTCCCCAGCATCCGCACACAGTCGTAGCTCCATATTTGTGGCCCAAACCAATTAATTTATGAATGACCAACTGCATGGCAGAAACGCTCACAAAAGTTCTGATGATAGCCCTGGCTGGTGTTGCTCAATGGTTAGAGTGTTGACCCATGCACCAAAGGGTCGTGGGATCAATTCCTGGTCCAGGGAGTGTACCTGGATTGCAGGTTTGATTCCTGCCCCCCTGGGGTGCAAGCATGGGAGGCAATCAATTGATGTGTCTCTTTCACATTGATGTTTCTCTCTCTCTCTTTCCCCCTCCCTCCCTTCCTTCCACTCTCTCTAAAAATCAATGGAAAACATTTCCTCTGGTGAGGACTCACAACAACAACAAAGTTGTGATGATAAACCTAAGAGTCCCTACGATGTTATTGAGAGCCAGCTGTGTGCGGGGCCTTCCCATCCCGTAAGGCACTGCTATTTCCATTTTGGATTTGGGTAAACTGTGGCTCTGAAAATGCTCAGCCTCACGCCCCAGCAGGAGCTCTCAACCAAGAGACTCAGAGGGGCCAGCCGGCTTGCCCAAGACCCAAGTGTGGGAAACTGAGTCAGTTCTGGCAAACACTCACCTCACCAGGGCAGGCTGGAGGTGCAGGCAGCCTCTGGCCCTCGGCCAGCAGGTCCAGGAGGCGGCAGAGAGCGGGGACATCTCGCTCACATCCCATCATCCGCAGGAACTCCTGGGGCCAGAGGTGATGGAGGGGAAGAGGGGAGCAGGTGACTAGGGGGTAAGCATCCTGAAGGGAGGAAGGGCTCGCTGCTGGTGGGGGTCGGGGAGGGGTCCTCTGTGATGCAGGGGGCTGCCTGAGGGGAGGCGGTCAGCCACAGCGAGGGGGTGGGAGAAGGAGGGTGCTAGGGGCTCAGGGCGCTGACTCACAGCGGAGGGGCTGCAGCTCTTGTCGCTGTAGGTGAACAGCTCGTACAGAACAACCCCAAAGCTCCAGACATCTGACTGGCGCGAGAAGATGTTGTCCGAGAGGGACTCCGGGGCGTACCTGGAGGGGACAGGGCGGCCTTGGGGTGCGAGCGCGGGGCGGAGGACAGGAGAGGAGCAGCACTGGGCTCGGGCAGCTGTCCAGGGCAGGTGGGCTATAGGAAGGTCAGACTCCAGCTCCAGGGTCTCAGTTCCCCTGACTGGGGTGGAGCTGAGTCTGTGGCCAGCCAGGGCGGGACCTGGGGGCGGGGTGGGTGGGGTGTCAACTCTGTGGGCTGTAGTTGTGGGGACGGGAGGGGCCCGGATGGTGGAGAGGAGAAGCGGGGGACCAGGGCGGGGCTCAGGGTGCAGCCGCAGCTGTGGGCGGGGCCAGCACACTGGGAGGAGGGGCGTAGCCTGGGAGGGAAAGGCCTGGGGGAAGAGGGGCGAGTTGAAGCGGGGTTTCCCACCAGAAGATGGGGCTTTGGCCCGGTTCCCGGACAACGTAATAGTCTTTGTCCAGCGGTAGCAGCTTGGCAAGGCCGAAGTCAGCGATCTTGACGTGCGTCTCACTCTCCACCAGGATGTTCCGCGCTGCCAGGTCGCGGTGCACACAGCGGCGGGAGCCCAGGTACTCCATGCCCTGCAGGCCGACACGGGGTCCAGACCCCAGGATGACTCAGCGGGGGCCCCCGAGCCTGACCTGGTTCCAGATCCCAAGCCTAACCCCACTGCCCCATCCTGCACTCCAGTCCTGCCTGACCTTGGCTCCAACTCAACCCCACCTCCAACCAGACCGGACTCCAAACATAAACCTTCAGCTTTCCCCAGACTCCCCGCCAGGCTAGCCAGCTCGGCCGCACCTTGCAGATCTGCGAGGCGTAGAG